CACACTTAAATGCCACGTTGTATTGTGAAAAATCCCATGTTTATCTGCTTTATTCGAGTGCAAATGAGCTCCAGATGTTTTGTAAATTACCTGCGTCAGATGCAGAATAAAAACAAATAATGTGAGGGCTGTCAGGGCTGTTTTTGATAGGATTTTAATTTTAGCTTAAATCTTTTTTCCCCAGTAAGTCACTTGGTTGTAATCATGATCAATGTCGTTGTGATGCTTTGTTTCTAAAGATGCGACCAGTCTTTCGTGAGTTATCAAGTGTCTCAAGCATTTTCGGGAACAGATTAATGTAATAAGGGGAAACCCTAGAATATTTCTTGCAGTTTGAATTGACATTTTACCTGGAGTGATACCAAGGTCTCCCTTCCCCCTGTGGAATTTTGGTCTCATTTCTCCCAACTGTAATGCCATTTTCTGAGCCTGTATTTTAAAAGGGCAAATGTCATGTTTTTCTTTGTTGTTAAACCACATATTTTCCCCAATAGTTTGAGTCTAAGCTTGGGGAGAGAAGAAAAACATATATTGGCATGTGATGCATTTAAGATTATATATATATTTCCATTACAATCAATACTTGAGACATCTGACCTTTGACTTCTGCCATATTGTTAAGTGTATCTATCGCCAATATACTTTTGCATTGATCTGTTTTGCTTTAACATACTTCTATATGATTTGCAGCAATTCAGGCATTGTACCATTCTTGGTTGATTTTCACCTTAAATTGCCAAAAGTTGAAATTGAAGTTGCAGTGATAGGCAAACACAGGTCAACCAGGAAAATATTTTCATACTTTCTATAACTTTTCTACACCAACTTTCCTACAAAAAAAAAAAAGAAAATGCTGTTTAAAATACTCAATTTGGTAAAGATTTTATTTCTTATTTTATTTCCGTCTATCGCTGTAGATAGACGGATCCGTTCAGCTGCTCCTATAATGCCAAAGCTGCAGCGGTCTGTTGTGGTGAAGGGAGAGCAGGCAAAGTTCTTGATTTACCGGTAGGTCTACGTTCCTACCTACCTATGGTTCTGAAATCTGGATCATGACTAAAAGAACGAGATCCCAGATAAAAGTGGCTGAAATGTGCCTTCTCGGCACAGTGGCTGGGCTCTCCCCTAGAGAAAGGGTAATGAACTCAGTCATCCAAGAGAAGCCCAAAGTAGAGCTGCTACTCCTCCACACTGAGAGGGGTCAGCTGAGCCGGCTCTGACATTTTTGTCGGATGTTTCCTGGACGCCTCCCCGGGAATTGTTCCAGTAGGAGGCCCATGGGATGACCCAGGACACGCTGATGGAACTATGTCTCTGGGTTGGTCAAGGTGCCTCTTGGGCTCCCAGAGTAGGGCTTGGAAGATATATCTTAGGAGAGGAGTCTAGGAGTCCCTGCTGAGACTGCTGCCCCACGGTCTGGTCCGGATACAAAGGAAGACGATGAGAACTTTTCTTTTCCCATTGGCTCGAGTCCCCTTTTTATTTGAAATTCAGCTAACTGCAAATGGATTTGATAGAGAGAGGGAGGAGAAAAGGCAAAGGTCAGCGGCCTGGGACTCCAGAATCGAGGCCTTCTTAGATGTAAGCGTGCTTTACCCCTAATTATCTCGCTATGTTAGCTAAGTTTAGTCAGATTTTATGTTCAGCATGGGCGGTTCTAGACAGGGGCCAACGGGGGCCAGTGCCCCTGTAGATCATGTCCTGGCCCCTGTTGTGGCCCCTGTACTGAAAACATAAAACTCAAAGAAATTCCAATGATGATATGTGCTGGAACAGACATGGTTGCTTAAAGGAGAAGTTCGGTTTTTTACACTTTAAGCCCATTTTCTGTAGTGTCCAGGATGAAATCGAATGATCGACACCAAAAGTTTGACAATTGCTCCTGTCTCTGCTTTTTGGCTCATTTAGAATCCCCCCCTGGCTGCTTTAGAATGGCTTGCATAGTGCATGTCCGATAATGTCCTTAAAACAACCTTAAACGTTCTTTTTTTTAAATATGCTACTCACCGTGTCGTCAGCGCTGTTCAATGACGTTCCAAAAAAAGTTTCGTGAAGAAAAAACGTTCCTGTAGTGTTTTATTTAGCATTTTGTAAATCCCATTGAGTTCTGTTGGAATAGTCAATATTCCGCTGCCACCGGAAACGGAAATGGGGCCTGTTTACACAGTTGTAGTCTTTTCGCTTCACTCTGTGTACTCCGACGTCGAGGTGCTAACGTCTCTGTTAAACACTTTAAAAAACTCTGAAAATGGAATACGAAAGGTGGATTCTTGATTCTCGACGTCGGAGTACACAGAGTGAAGCGAAAAGACTACAACTGTGTAAACAGGCCCCATTTCCGTTTCCGGTGGCAGCGGAATATTGACTATTCCTACAGAACTCAATGGGATTTACAAAATGCTAAATAAAACACTACAGGAACGTTTTTTCTTCACGAAACTTTTTTTGGAACGTCATTGAACAGCGCTGACGACCCGGTGAGTAGCATATTTTAAAAAAAGAACGTTTAAGGTTGTTTTAAGGACATTATCGGACATGCTCTATGCAAGCCATTCTAAAGCAGCCAGGGGTGGATTCTAAATGAGCCAAAAAGCAGAGACAGGAGCAATTGTCAAAATTTTGGTGTCGATCATTCGATTTCATCCTGGACACTACAGAAAATGGGCTTAAAGTGTAAAAAACCGAACTTCTCCTTTAAAAGTACTTTGGATCTATTTCTATTATTTTTTTTTTTTTTTTACAAATTCTGTTTTACTAGTTATTTAAAAACAATAAGGTAATAGCTTCAGTGGTATTGAGATAGGATCCCAGTTTTCCACTATTAAATGTTTTTTTTTAAATGAATAAAAAAGAATAGTCTAATTTTTACAGCTGATTTTCATCAGTTTTTCTTGATTTCTAATTCAGATTTTATAAAAAACTTAATTTTTAACTTAAGTTAAGTCAAAAATAGGTAAAATAAAAATGAATTTTTTTTTTTACCTAAAAAGACAGAATTTTAATTCAACCTAATTGAATAGAAATTTCACTCATACAGATATCTTTATATATTTGAATCCCTTGCCCTGTTTTTTTTATTTCATGCTTTTCTGTGGCCCCCATGAAAAACCGCTGGCCCCCTGGTACATTTGTTCTAAAACCGCCACTGATGTTCAGATCTTCAAAGGTTTTTTTACTTTGTTTATAAGTGTATTTACGTCTGCTTAAAGATTCCAAACTACCACTACAGAGGGATTAGTACACTATGGAGGTTTTGTTAAAATCTTTGACTTGAAAACCCTCAAAGAACTTTTACATCCCCATAAGGCGTTAAGTCTTGACATCGATCCTGCAGGGAAGAAAAGGGCACAAATCAAACTTAAATGAGTGAACTAATGTAATATAGTGTGCCATAGTGTATAAGGCTGCTTATACGTGTCAAGTGTAGACCCGCTGAGTCCCACTAGCACACTGACCTTTTATTCATTTGGTGGGAAGACACAGGGGGCCTTAATTAGTTTCACAATAACACGTCTTCTAACCCTGCTCAGGCAGAAGGTTGCACTTATTCCTCAGTATACATACAGTACGTGCTCTGTGGGTCTACAGTATGGTTTTGTAACATTGCCTGCAAAAAGGTCACCTTTCTGTGGTGTTATAACATACACATTGAGGCGAGTGGTGTAAAACAACCGGCAGTGCTGCAGTGATAGAGACCATTAAACACATTTTCTTTGTAATTATATTCTGCTTTCATATAAAAAAAGGAAAAAGGGAGTGCACAAAGTTAAAGACCACAAGAACTGCTTCAATGGGACCATTCTGGAAGGAAACACGGCTCAACACAGAATCATTGATTTAGAGGTTTTTTCGATTGTAGGGTAAAACAGAGTAAGTACAGTGTTTATTGCAGACTGTAGCTCTTTCAGTGGCATTGTTCAGGAGGGAGATACTGCTTTACAGAAAAGCACTGAATGAGGCGTTATTTCTGTTAACAAGAAAAAAATGCAATAAGGCAAAGGCTGTAATATCATCATACAGTGAAGAAACTGCCACAATGAGCCAGGTTACTTTCTATAGGCAGGGAAAATGAAGAATGCACTAGGGCACTAATAGCTCTGTGAATAGCACCAACCAGGATTGAGACGCAGCTAAATAAGGAGAGGTGAGCCAGCAGTACTTTGTATGGCAAAGGGAAACAAAGAGGGTACATGAGGCTACTGGCAACAATACTTCTGTCAGTGGCACCATCTGAGAAAGATAATGCAGAGGCAATGATCCAGCAGTACCTCAAATTAAGAAAAACTGGGAGGCGCCCAAAGTTAATGGTGAGAATAGCAGTAACAGTAAAGTGCAATCAGTGTTCGACCTGGATCAACATAATTTTAGTTGTCTCGTTTCACTGGGGGGAAAAAAATGGAAGAAAACGTATGCTACTCACAAAGATTTGAGAGCTCCAAATGAGAAGCAGTCATTTCCCCTTTAATGTTCTTAAATGCAAGCCCACCTCCTTGAGTAGGGGACCTGATTCTGGCTCATTAGGAGCTGCAGGATGGATCCACACTGTCTGGCATAGCTTGACATCTGGTGACCCGACAGAAGGAGTTTCAGGTGGCAGTGGCTCACTGCTTGTTCAATATTTAATTTGCACAGCAGGGATCCTAAGCTGTCTTCTCAGGGTTAATGGTGTGTGTCAGAACTAGCAACATAAACCACAAATCAATGGTTACTTTACTGCATTTTCCTGTTTATCTCTTTGCTCACTAACTGCATCAGTGTTAACATCTCTTATTATGCTGTTGACAGTAAAATGAATTCATTTTTGTGATATTTATGGGTGAATCTTGATTTGTATTGAAAAAGCAATCCATAAAAAAAGCAATAAACGTCGAAAATAAATCCTATTGAAGTCTAACAAATCTGGTTACAGCTATGGTTGTTCAGGATCGTCCATCTCTTAAATGAAGAGTATAAATTTGTAATCTAGGACAGGATTACATGGCTTTTGTGTCCTTCCACAGATGAAGACGGTTAGTGTGGCTCTGGTGTTGTGTCTCAATGTGGGAGTGGACCCTCCTGATGTGGTCAAGACATCCCCATGTGCCAGGCTGGAGTGTTGGATAGGTGAGTGAACCCTTCCTGTTATCATTCTTAAAAATGAGAAAAAACATCTTTTAAACGCAGCTTGAAGAGATTCCAAGAAATGCACAAATACACAATAAAACAGTTTTTGTTTATATTTTTGCTACCAAACACATGAAGAAGAAATAAAAAGTGAACAGACATTTTAAATTATTTTCATAAGCTTCATTTGGATAACATGAGAGACTTGTCTGACCAACAGACAACAGATATTACAGGTATTTGGCCTATATGTCTATGACTGTTGACTGTAAAAGGCTCCCTTTGACATTTGAATATATGGGGAAGTTACGACATCATGTTTGCAGCCAAAAAATATGAACTAGTCTTTCTTTTGTGTGTGTTTTGTTTTCATGCACCGCTCCACTGATATGTCTAAAGTCTTTATAACTGCAGGAAATGTCTAGCTGCATGATTTATCCGTAGGCTTTGACACTTTGAGCCATTGCTCCTTGCCATCTTTGCTCTTTCGGAGTATTAAGTTGACCTGAGTGGGCGTTGGTTCGGTATCTCTTAGTTAAGATGATATCCGCAACCCACACTCTCACCAAATTGGTGCGCCCAGGCTAGCTGCTGGGGTCACTTTAGAGATGCTTCCTCACTTTTGAGTCCAACAAACTGGTCAACTAAAAAGCCGTTTAGATCTTCTTTTTTTTTTACCTCAGTCTGAGACATTTCCAACCCTTAATATCAATGGGTTTTGTTGAACGTTTTAAAGTAAACCAACAAAACCAAATACATAATTGTGAAGTAAAAATTAAATGATGCAATTTTATTTACCTCCATGAAAAGGGTGAAAAAACATTTGCATTCACCGCTTTGTCTCTGAAAGAGCTAAATATAATCTCACACAGCCAACTTCCTTCCTAAGTAAGTTGTCTTCTAAATGTGGTCCCGCTGTGTGAATCTGATGTCAGTTCTCTGAAGGCCTCAACGGTGTGTTACAGGACATTAGTGAACAAACAGCATTGAGGAACCAGTCAGGGAGAAAGTTGTGGTGATGTTTAAAATGCAATTTAGAGAGCAGCGTAAGATGTTCAATCCATTACCCAAAGACAGCGGCAAACAGGGCAAGTGCCCCAGTAAAATTGGTTCCAGTTATGCCCCCTGTATTTAAGACAAAATGGTAAATCAGATTTTTATGATCACAAACTGTCACTTCTAGGTCAAATTAAACTATTAGTCATGTTTACAGATTTTGGCTATCAATTATTTCAAGTGTCCCGATTAATATTGAATATTGCTCTGATATAAGCCAAAAAAATAATATACCAGCCTGCATCTAAAATCTCCAATATTGTCATGCTGATAGAAACACTGCTTCTCTTTAAAGTTGCTGCAAACCAATGATTAATACTATACGGGTCAATTGTTCTCATACCTATTTTTGTAAAGTATTGTTCTCCGTTTTAGTAATATCACTTGATCAAGCATTTTCTTACAGTATACGTTATCAAATGAGCAATAAAAGCATGTATGATTCATACAAATATTGTATCGGGACAAATATCGGTATTGGTCAATTCTCGTGGCTGCAATATTTGTATCTTATCAGAAATAAAAAAGTTAAATCTGGATGGCCTGGTAATAAGCTTCATATGAGGATAGAATCACAGTTTTTAGACCCCCGGTGCAAGCTGCAGCCTCCGATGCCACAGTCACTACTACTACTCCATCAATTAGTGCCCTGTTATTTATCCCTTTTCATTCCATTTCTTTGTTCTGTCCTCCCATAAACAAACACCAGCCCCACTCTTGCCCCCCTGTTAGTTTTGGTCACGACCTTGGTGTCCTAAATGGTAGTTACGGCCCTGCGCCTGGGTTTCAACAAAGCAGCCATGCGAACGAGAGAGCACAGCTTGTCAAACCGACGCGCAAGCCCAGAAAATCTGACATAAATCACTATCTCACTATCTAACGGAACCGATAGAGGCAACTGCAGTAAATATACATCTTTAAATCCATTTTTTTTTTTTTTTTGGGTCATTGAATAATGTTATATAACGTTATATAAGTTTATTGTATGGCTGCAACTAACGATTATTCTAACAATTATTTTTTTCAATTAATCAAATAATAATTGGATAGCAAAAGATTAAGAAGATTTTTTGTAGAATTAAAACTAAAACTTTTCCACTTCCGGAGTTCCGGGTAGAGCATATTGTCAGAAGAAAAAGTACTTTTTTAAATCTTAAATGCAAAATATTTATAAATGTTTGTACAATTTTGGTATAATCTACGTGGTTTGCTCTGTCAGCTAAAGGAATGTTTTAGTTTCTATAGTCCAGTTAATGATTAATCGATTAATAAATTAGTTAACGATTATTTCAAATATCGATTAATCCAACACATTTTTGTTAGCCCTAGCTGATTTCTAAGGCATATTTTTGAAGATTTTTATTGCTGAATGAACTAATCTAATCTTTCATTTTTCTTCACTTTTTCTGTGCTTTCTTCATAGTTATAGACTTGAGTTGCTGATCTCATAGTGTTTTTAAAAATGATTTCAATATAGAATTGATATCTGCATATGTGATAGTATTGTGCAGCTGGCCTGTGTGTACATGCTTGTATGTGTGTGTGTAAGTAAGAGACTGCATTGTGGTTTGACTGCGTTTGTTTTTCCTGTCAGATCCTCTGTCAATGAGTCCACAGAAAGCCCTGGAGACCATCGGGGCAAACTTGCAGAAGCAGTATGAAAACTGGCAGCCCAGGGTGAGTGGAAAAAGCCTCTTCATTTTACTGGCTGTTAGCCAGAGCTACGTTGGCCACACACACATACTCGTTCTGCTATATCTAGTGAGGACCATGTGTTTGTCTCCGATTGACTTCCAATTATTTTCAGTCATTTTCAACCTTTTCTATGCCCTAACCCTAAACCTATCCATTAAGAATGAATACCTCACCCTAACCCAATTGACGCATTAGCCCTAAACCTAACCGTTAGCAAAATAGCTTTTGAGGACCAGCAAAATGTCCTCACTTTGCAACAACTGGTCCTTAATCTGATGGGGAAATTGGAAAAATTGTCCTCACTCAATGGCTAGACAGCTACACATACACACACAATAATGGTTCATGTTGTTTGAAATATCAAGCTGAATCTCCCTATCTCTCAGTAATGCTAAATCGCAGCACAAAAACTTTTAAACTCTGTCTTGTATTGTCTCTTTTCATCAAGCATGCTCATTATTATTTGGATATTTAATCCTCTCTACCATCTCTCATTAATGTTTAGCTAATTTAAAAGATTTATTAAGGTCTGATATCATCAACAGGCTATTTTTTTTATTTTTTTTTATTTTAGACAAAAGACTATCCATGCAATTTTTGTCAACAAAACTGAATTGATTATTTGTTTATGTATTCATGTTGAGGTCAGACTAATTTCCTCCCATTTGATTAAACCTTTGGTTTGTGAAAGCCCTGTTTTCCCTCTGTGACTGTTTCAAAACAGATTTCAAATACAGTTTAAAGTTGATGCAAATATGGCTTCACAATTAATTGCATCAGGAAAATATTTGCAACGTGTATAAGAAATGTCAAATTTCAAACCACATTTTTGGTCTTTAACAAGAGTATGACACTAACTTTCTTCCTCCAGTGCTTTAGATGGAAGTAAAGGGATTGAACTGGGTTTTTAATCACAAAGAAGGGAGGAGACAGTTGTTGCTAGTGTGCAGCGCCATGGATGGGACTTAAAAATAAACACAACGATGTGGTAAGATGCAACAAGGGAGTCTTGACAAGAGGGCATTTAAGGCCATGAAAACATTACCACCCTAAAGCTAAACATGTTAAAACTTGTAGTAACTGCAGAGGAAAACAGAAATTAAAATAGCAATTTTGGTTAAAAACAAGTTTTTGCAAAGCCACATATAAGCCTAAATCTCAGATTTTGGATTTCAGGTTATTAAGGTTGTGGTGTGTTTCCTGCTCTAGCGTACACGTAGTAAATGTTGGGTGTCAGTGCAGGCTTTCATGAATGAGGCAGTTTTTGGTCCACTGCTGATTCCTTTACACTGCAAGTTCAGTAAAAAGTCTAAAAATGTAAAGAAACCCTGAAACCATTTAAAGTAATAGCTGTATAATATTTAAAACTATAAAATGGTCATACTTAAAACATTAATAGTGCATCTTACAGCCAAACTAATAGTTTTCTACTAATTTCCCTGGTATCAGAGTTCAGTGTCCCTGATGATATTTAAGGCACTCTAAAATATTCCACTAAATGTATATTTTCCATGGAGTAAGATAAGAAAACATTTTCCTATCTGCATTGTATCTTTCCCACCACTATTACTGACTAAAGACAATTTTCAAATGTTTGATTATATCCGATCACAAAACTTTTGTATCATCTTGTTGGGCGTGTTTCTGAAAGCCGTGCGGCTGACCAATAGAAATAAAAATGAAAAATCCAATCAAGAGGGAGGCAGAAATGGAAACACGTGACTGTTTGGTGTGATGGTTCAGAAGAAATACATAAGGTAAGAGGAGGTGGAGGAAGAACGACTCCAGAGATGGAGCCGGGAAAGAAATGTGAGCTCGGGTTCGGTTGAACCGAGAGGTCAGCAGCAAATGGTGGTAGGAGCCCAGGAGGAGGAGGAGGAGTGGGAGGGTGAGAAAGCTGTTCCTGTTTCCAGCCTGAGGATTCAGAGCTCTGCAGAATCACGACGGAGAGCAGATTTCGCCAACACACCTTACATAAAGTGTTCGAGAAAGTAATCAGTTATGCTGTGGTTATTAATCGCTTGTCACAGATGGGTAAATTCTGTAGTGGTAAATAATTGTGCATGAGTCGGGTCGGTAAATATTTTACCTGACAGGAAATTAGCATGCATTGTTTTTGCACATTTCTGTGTACTGCCTGTAGCGTTTATCGGTAACAGCGGCGTTTGCGACGGCTGAGTCGCCCAGAGAGTTTAGTTGCCTGCTCCGCTGTCACAAATCTATGTCTGTTTGCTTCAGCAATCGGAGATTCACCCTCATGGCCAGAAAGCAGAAAGAAAAACAGTCTCCATCCCTGCTGCCCACACACTTTTTTTCCAACTCTTCCTCTCGCTCCTTCTTCCCTCTTTGTTGCTGATCTTTTCTCATCATTATTTATTCCACAACATGAGAATATTTTATTTTGTGTCTTAAGTTGAGAACAAATGTTTTTTTTACTCTTTTATATCTACAGCTTTTTTTTTTGTTTCTTGCTTTATCACACAGTAAAAGTATGTTTTCCTAATTTTTAAGAGATAATTCATACTTTATAAGTAATGATTTGAAAACAAATTATAGCTAATATTCATACTTTTTTATAGTTAAAAATTGTATACCAGTACTTAAGGATTATAGAGACATAATATATAGATTGCCATTGATCAAATGTCATCAGAATTCATTCACTGTTTCAACTAGAGATGCCACAACTGTTTTTTTTGTTTTTCAAACTTACCAAAACATATTTTTATAACGATTTCAATGAGGACTTTGACATGAAGTGTTGGAAGAAGAAGAGCATCTATTTAAGGGAGCATTCATGATGAAATGGGGTCTAACCAGTTAATATTTAACTTTTTGTTACATTTTTATTGGTCTGTTGACCAATAATGATACTGGAGGTAGAAATGGGTTGGCTGTAGGGGTTCTGAAGGCAATATTTTTATAAGATATCTACCTATATAGATAGATGGATGGATAAATGGATAGATATACTCAGAGTTCCCATTGCATAAATGTGATGTCAGAACTATAAAGCGGAGGATGACTATTTCAGGTTTTCATCCCTTTTTCACTGATCCATATCTCATGGTATAGGTGAGGGTCAGATCATAGACAAGTTGGTAAATCAAAATTTGTCTCTTAAGTCAGCTTTCTTTATCACCATAGGCCTCAACCAAAACATTCTCCCTGCCCCCATCCATCCGTCCGTCCGTCCGTCCGTCCGTCCGTCCGTCCGTCCGTCCGTCCGTCCGTCCGTCCGTCCGTCCGTCCATCCATCCATCCATCCATCCATCCATCCATCCATCCATCCACTCTAGCTGGACTTCATTCATTCAGTTTTATTACCTTTGCCTTTATTTTTACTTTATTATAGCTGAAACTGCTCCTTATAATGTTAAAAAAGCATTTGCAGTGTCTTAGCTTTCAGGTTATCTCACCATTTCTTTTGTATTCTTCTTCAAACTGCCTCGGCTGCTTTCTCATTCTCTTTAAAGCCTTACTTGTTCACTTTCATATTATCAGTGTCTGTCATCACCCTTTTTTCTGTCTCAGTGCTCTGTTATTTGTTTTGGGAATCCTGTTTGAAACTCTTTCCTCCACACTTGTTGGTTGTTATCTCTTAAGATGAAATGCGACAAGCTTGTCTTGTCAAATTGCCGTCTCAAAGCCAACACTGTGTGGCTAAATTGCTGAACATGTTGCAGCTGCCAAGCAGGTTTAATCCGAGTTATTTTTTTCTGTATTTATGGGGTGGCTGTATTCAGCTCTCCTGCTTGGCTGCAGTCTGAAAGCCCCTGCTGTCTTCTCAGCTAACGGCCTCTGCATTATGTATCATTGAGCTGGGCCTCAAACGGTTGGCCTCTGCATGCATCTGAGCATTTTTTTCCATCATCCACAGAAACACCATATTGAGATGCTGAGATCTGGTGTAAAATTTCAGTGTGGCTTATGATGATGCAATAAAGCCGATACTGTGTTTATTGTAAAAACACAGTATTTAATTATTATCATGGCTTTGCTTATTGGATGGGATGCACTTTATGTGTATTTTAAATTATCATATGTTCCTGTTAACAAGGCAGTTTATAACGTAAAAATATATCACTGACATGTCATCAATTTCATTATAACTGTGTAACTTTCCTTCTTCAAATCTCTTCAATAAAACAGTGATATGTCTATAATAAATGAAATAGGATCTGGATAGATCACCAGCAGCTATCCAGATCCTATTTCATTATAATTCATAATCATCATTTCAATTTATAATTCTTATTAATTCATTTAAAATTGTATCATGATAGACTTTGTAATGTGGGCAACAGGGATGGGTGATGAGGCTCAAAAATCTATTCTCAGATTTCCATTTATTAAAACTTCATATACAAAAGAATTTAATTAATTGATAAAAACCAATAAATTGCCCAGCCCTAGTGGTCCAACACTGTATCATCATCTAAAAAAAAAAAGATTCAGATTCTCCTTGAAGCCCTGTCGGCCTCAGTAGATGGCCGCTCACACTGAGCCTGGTTCTGCTGGAGGTTTCTTCCTGTTAAGAGGGAGTTTTCCTCTCCACTGTCACTACAAGCATGCTTAGTGTGAGGGACTGCATTCGAGTCAATGGGTCGATCCAATCAACTGGTTTTCCTTAGATAGAAAACTTTAAATCAATTTGACTTTATGATCTGGTGAACTGTAAAGTGCCTTGAGATGACGTGCATTGTGAATTGGTGCTATATGAATATACTGAATTGAACTGAATTCAGCATCATGTGTGCTAGGAAGTTTACTTGTCCTGGCCATGGGGGTGAACACAGGGAGGATCCATCACACTCACCCTATGATGGGGATGGAGTCTTGAGGAGAACTAACAGTTTCCCTTCTGTGAACTCACTTTTATGCTAAAATGCTAGCAATATCCCATTATTCAGTAGCTGCAAGTTAGAAACATGTTCAGCTGTCATCTGGAACATGTGAAACACGCTGATATGCGTTGGAAA